AAGACTCCTGATCTTTCGTCAAAATTTTCATAATTCCGCTCAAAACGATCCCAGAACAATGAATTTGCGAGACGAACAGGCCGCCATGAATCAGGTAAAACAATATGTTACATGCAATTTGATTGGTCCAATCGCTTGTAGTTAACCAATCGCTGGGCCGTTTATAATCGAGCTAAGACTTCCGCAACAAATAATGCCTTCAGTGATCTGATTAGTTGAAGCTTTCATACACGTCCAATCGCAGGGCTGTTTACAAACGGAAAACGGAGAGACTGTTCGGGAGAGCTCGTGAAAACTCGACGATAAGGTACCTGACCGCCCCTAAAATTTTCTCAACGGATTTAGGCGATTCACAAAAATGATCAATTTAAGAAATAAAACGGCGGATTGTATGTTTATGAATATTTACATTAAGAATTGAACCCAAAGCAGTTACATGGCTCACCTATGCTTCATTGAACATGAGCTGATCAAAAAAATACATATAAATCAATTCCAACCAAAGGGCAGGCTGTGTAAAAAAAAAAAAAAAAAAAACACTGTACACGCTTGACATTCACATTGCTGTGACCCCCACAATAAAGGACAGAATCCAACTGCAACGGACAGGACTGCAGGGGGGAACATTGGTACCACCACTCACGAGGACGTGCAGACCGCAAGAGCCAAGACAAGGCCATGGAAAATCCTGCTGGACACCCCCACAATCTGACCACCACCTCTTCCAGCTATTTCACTCAGGTAATCGCTATCGAGCCTTTTATCTCTTGCCATTAACTCCCTAAACAGTGACTCAAATCTATAGTGGCTCTTTGCATTTTTGCACACCCCTGTGAGACAGTATTGCTGCACTGATCATTGTAGCTCCAGCTCTCTACATACTTGAACAATTGACGTTGATCAATATTCCACACCACTAGACACCTTTAAGTGCCCAAGGACTTTCTGCATAATTGCACACCGAAAGTTGTACGACAATTACTGCTAGTGGTCACTTAAAAATGGTGCAATGGTTATCTGCATCAACTACACAACCGTCATAACATTGTTTTGCACCACTGATCACTATATATCTCGAGCCACTGTTCAGACTTAAACATAAATTTGGCACTGTTTATCAATCGCAGTCTCAAGGTAGGGTCGAACGAATGAACCGGCCATTTAAATCAAAACGTTCTAAGGTGATGGCATCAATGAAATTAAATTGGGTCAATGTGCTTTTAATTGCATTGCTTGCTGTGAGGCCTACCATCAATTCTACCACAGGTTTCACAGCTTTTGAGCTGGAACATGGCCAGTAGTTTCCTGGTCCATGGCGGTCCATGGACTCAGGCACTCTTCAAAAAATGGTTCCCCATAAACTTTATATATCTCGTCTCTTATTTCCAGAAGCAGATTAACCCCCAGTGTCAACACTCGAATGA